AGTTTTTGAGTTCTTTTTATATCTGGAGATTAAATCCCTRTATGATATGCAGGTGGCAAAATTTTCTCCCATTYTGTAGGCTCTCTCTACATATTCTTGATTGTTTCCTTTGCTATGAAGAAGCTTTTTAGTATGATACTATTCCTTTTATTGATTCTTGRTTTTACTTCTGGYACTTTGGGAGTCTTRTTGAGGAATTCCTACACGTGCGTTCTTGGAACAACTGTGTTTATTTTGTATCTGTCAACATATGTAATTGCCAAATTATTTCTATGAGATCTTGGACAACTGGAAACATTTTTAGCCARTTGTCCTAAATCTCTACAAAGGAGCACATAAATCAAAATGAATCTTTTTGAAACATCCAGGACTTTTTGAAACGCACAGATGTTTTTAAAACATTTCACTTTGTTCTTGATTCTTCTCCCCATTAAGTATGATGCTAGCTGTAAGATTTTAGAGATGTCCTTATCAAGCTGAGGAACTTTCCTTCTATTCCTTGTTTACRAAGCATTTTTACCTTTAACGGGTATTGTATTCTGCCCAATGCGTTTTCTGCATCTCTCAATATAATCACACAATTTTTCTTCTTTAGACTATTGATGTGATGGATTACATTGAATGATTTTTAAAAGTTGAACCCACCTTGCGTACCTATATATAATTCTTTCTACACATTTTTATATTTTCTGGAAGATATTATAGAGAATTAATATTTTTTTTTTCTTTAAACATTTGGTCGAATTTACTAGAGAATACATCTGATCTTGTAATTTTTTTGTTTTGGCAGGCTAATACTGATTCAATTTTTTTCACAGATAAAGCCTTTACAGATTGTCTATTTTTCCTTGTTTGAGTTTGGGCCAATTGTATCTTTGAAGGAATTGATACACTTTATCTAGACAATCAAATCTGTGGGCACAGAGGTATCCATGATGTTCATTGATTAGCCTTTCACTGTCCATACAATCAGTAGCAATGCCCGCCCCCGCTTTTGTTTTTGATATTGCTATTTTATATCTCTGTTTTCCTTAGACTGCCTAGAGGTGTGTAGATTTTACTGATCTTTACAAAGACCCAGATTTTGCTGTTATTGATTCTCTCTATTGATTTCTTTTTTTTTCAATTTAATTGATTTTTACACTCATTTTTATGATTTCTTCTGTTCACTTTAGGTATTTTTGTTGTTGTWGTTTGCTGTGTAAGTAGAAGCTTAGTGTATTGATTTCAAAATCTTTCTTCTTTTCCCATATATGCAATCTATGTTATAAATTTTCCTCTAAGCATTACATTCACTGTATCTCACACATTTTGATGTGTTTTCTTTTTAATATTATTTGAATTTTTAACATTCATCATGATTTATTTAGAAGTGTGTTGTTTTTTCTACCGTTTTCTAGCTATCTTTCTGTTGGCTTCTAGTTTAATTTCCTTATAATCTCAGAGCAAATTTTGTGTGTTTTATATTTTTTCTAAATTTGTTAAGATTATGTCCCAGAATCTGGACTATTTGGTGACTTTTTCATGTGAACTTCAAAAAAATGGGTTTTCTGCTGCTATTGCTTCAATATTATACAGATGTCAGGAAAAGTTAATTTCTCTCTTTCTTTCTTTCTTTTTTTTGGATATAAGATAAATATAAAAGTACCATGTCTTCATTTACCATTAAGTGTGAGAAAAATAAAATTTGACATAAAAATATGAACACAAATATGAATGATTTTAGATAAATAAAGTTTCCTTTCATTAGCAATAAGCTCTACTAATCTTTACTTAACGTTTTAGAATTTGGTGGATTCATGTTAGTGATGAAAAAAAACTCTCATAATCAATTCCTAAGTTTCTAGTAATTTTTTAACTAGATGTTTTAAGAAAAATTATATTAAAATTCAAGTAATTATCATTGAATAATTATTCTGAAATATCTCTGAAAGKTTAAATGAGGAAGAACAGCTATGAAAACTTTAAAAAATGAAGAGTAATTTCAATGGTAGATTGTGGATAATTTCAACAGAACAGAAAGCAGAAAATAACAATAAATATGTAATTAATAAACATAATGATTATAAGAATAATACAGCAGATGTAAGTGAGAAAACRTCTATTAATTATTTAAAATATGTACATTTTTGAAAGGAGGTAACAGACTTCACTGTGTCTTATTTTCCTTTGACTCTGTGACTTAACTAGGTTAGCCCCAGACAACACCACATCATACTTCACTCTATTCCTCTTCTCTCAGAAGACACTATTTTCAGTCTTCGGAGCTGAATCTATGCTTCCCTCCCTCCTGATACAGCTTCAGGACTATTTCACGTGCACAAAGTACCCTGGTSTTTTCCCTCACGCCCATCGATTCTCAATGGCACAGTCATCTATGTAAATGCTAGTCACCTGTCTCATTCACTGGACATTTCAGGACCAGACTCATAACTTGCCCATGACCCTAAGACTACCCAGGGTGGATTTAGTTTTCAAAAAAAAAAAATGACTTGCTGAACATTCTGCTGTTTTAATTTATTTTTCTCACTATCCATTTCATATATCACCTCTTATCAAAGAATAATTCTAYCAAATAGGATTAAACAAGCAAGGARACTGTATTCAGAGCTGCTGTAATAGAGACCAAGATCATTTCAAGAGAGAAGTGAGCCTGAGCTCAACCCCTCTGATGTATGGAGTGGGAGAATAAAGCCTGGAGTGACCTAGTACAAAAGCAGGAGGGACTGGAATGGGCTTGGAGCTTGGCCAGTGTGACGAGGCCCTCTGTGATGCTGACCAGCACTCATCCAAGTTTAGGTTCCTACTTCCATACAGCGAATGGCAGGTAGAGGCTCCATCTTTTGGATAACATTTCAAAGATGGCCCCCAAATCCTTGAAAAACATTTCTGGGTAGTAAAACCGCCAAGAGACGGGAGAAGAATTACATCTTGAAGGAGCAGAGAAAGGATCTACAGTTGCTAATTTTCAACAGTAAATGCCCTAGGGAAAAAGAAGTCTGGACTTTTAGTTAGAAAGAAACCTATCTAAATATTAGTTAAACTCAGGGAAAGGTTAAGGTCATCCTGGTCCCCCTACTATGACTATGATTACAGGTAAACATGTCTAAACATATTTGTCCATTAAGTTGGTCCATTTCTCTGGGTGACAACATGACATGAGATGGAGGATGCACAGCCCAGATACTGAGCCCGGGTCAGGAGTGAGAGAGACCGAGCTCCATGCAAAGCATGAGGGGTTCCCAGCATCTGTCAGAAATGTGCAGACCATGCCTTGCACTTCATAATTTCCTTCTCTGATACTATTCCTGGAGGTCCCAACAAGAGCAGCCATGTCTTCATAAGCCATGTTCCTKGTAAGCCATGGCTAACTGTACAGTGGGAAAGATGTGCCCACTATAAGCCATTCATCCACTTGCAAGTCAGGGAAGCCCATTTTGATGGGATAGRACAGATAACTGAAGAAAAGCTGTATTTTCTTACTCTCTTGAAGGTGTCATCTGTTCTTTATAAAGAAAGGAGAACAATCTGTACTCTCAGGACTAAAATGAGAGACGGGAAGAACCCAGGCTTCATAGAGCATTGATATGTGACTTCCATTTTTGTTAAAATTGCTGTTTTAATGTACCAAGAGGCATAACACGTGCACATTGGTTTTTATCATGAGATAATGGATTCCTTCTAACGACAGAGTAGTAGCTTCACTAATCTCGGATATGATTTTCTCCCAGACTGTGACAAAGACCTGCTGATTGACATTCTCACGAAACGCTGCAATGCGCAGAGGCTGATGATTGCAGAGGCATACCAGAGCATGTACGGCCGGGTAAGGAGTCTTTACCTTGACCTGTTTYACCTCAAACTCCTGAGAACTAACAATGCTCTTCACAGAAAGGGGACCACTGTTTTTTTCAGTCTTGCAGATCATAAAGTTTTCAGACCTCACTGCGGGTTAGAACCTGTCCATGCCCCTCTCGCATGCTTCCAGAATAAAAGCTGTACATGTACATGATGTGTACGTGGGTGAGAGATGATCACAATCAYGGTGACCACTGGTCCTTTTCTGAAATCATAGAGCATCCCAAAAAGAAAAGTTTTGATCAACTTYCACTGTCAGCTGGTCCAATTAGGCTTAAAGCCTTGTTCTGGAAACACCCTGGTGTGGAGCTTTAGGGAAGGTGGAGAGAACACTAATGATCACCAAATCAAAAAAAAAAAAATAATAACATCTTTTCTAGGAATTCTCTGCAGGTCCTCACCTAACTCTCAACCAAAGTGAATTCTCTACTAGCTTTTCTTCTCCACAGCATGCAGTTATAGAGACCATTAAAAAAGAATGGCAGTTTAAAAATAGTTGAAGGCAATAAAACTATCCATAATGTTTTAAAGTAATCACATTCTAATTTCAAAGAAAGTACCATTAAAGATTCCTTGCTTTTGTTATGCATTTAAACCACAGATTCAGAACAAAAGCTCTTCGGGCCAAAAGGGCCTGAAACAGCAATTACTTTGTCAACTGAGTATTATCGATGAAACACTATCATAAAACTTTCTCTATAGTTAGTCCATATAAATTTACTCCGTCTCTAAACCTCAGCCTTTGAACAACTATAATGCATGAAATAAAAGATAACCTTCAGTTTTAGAATCTCTTAGTAATCTAAAAAAAGCCACGACTAGTATTTGACATTAATTAAATGAAGCCAAAGGAGATCAGGTATACCTTTTTTTCCCACGTAAAACCAGTGGTTCCTGGACACCAATGCTAGTTTTCTTTTCAAAGAAAATATAACACCTAAAAAGTTGGATCATTGTTAATCTAATATGGTTTTAATTTGTATAGCACTATAAGGAATGTAACTTTTCATTATTTTTTTTTAATYCAAAGGTTTACATAGAGTTTTTCTTTATTGTATATCAAGGTAGTCTATGCTAAAGCATTACTTTACCAAGTTCTACAAAATTATGCTATGGCAGATTAAAATAATTAAGCAGTGAGGTACTGGCACTCAAGGGATTTAAACTCCATTATAAAATTTAGACTGAAGTGCTTTTTACTCTCTGTGTAAGATCTCAGAGTTTGTTAAGCCCTCATTTTTCCTGAATAATCACATGTCCTGGGGAAAGCTTGGCTAATCACTGAATTGTACAGACTGGAAGACACAAACCCACAATTTCCCTTTTCTCTTAAATATCCTTGTCATTCAATCAATTATCAAGTCCTGTACCTTATTTCTCCTCTCACACTCCTCTTTTCCTCACATACACAGTCTTGGTTCAAGACCTTCATCCTTTTGTGCCCAAATTAATGCTGTCATTTAAAACTGGTCCCTGCTACCCCCCTAGGSTCTGTCCATTCCAGTCCACTATCCAAACTCAAGCCACAGAGACTCAAAATCTAAATGTTCCCATGTGACTTTGCCACTTTACTCCCTGCATGTTTAGCCCATGCCCCTCTCATAAATATCCCTATTTGCAGGGAATAAACCCAGTGCCTCCCCGGGGCATGGAAAGCCCTGCTTCCCTCATTTAAATTTCCCATCTTAATCCTCTCGCCCTGGTGTTTCATCTGTCCCCAGTGACACGTTTCTCCATTCCACATGCTGCTCACCTGTCATCCTCCCAGACACAGGACACCAATTCACCCCACCACACCTTACATCCAGTGGAACAGACTCGCGCTGCTAATGCCACCTTTTATAACTTTCTCAAAGTATCTGAYGACACATCTGTGAGTTTGCTTCTATCAGTTTCACATTACCAGAGTCTGAAATCTTGAATCTCAGAATGATTTTTTTTTTCATCCCAAATCTTAGCACCAGTGTTTAACACACTGYGGTGGCTTTGTTGATGTGTGTTCAATGACTCTGGGATGGCACAGCTAACTGCAACTCCTCCAATAAGAGGCAATCAGGCTTTAGCTCCTCCTGGAGACCTACCCAGCCTGTTGCTCTCACTTCTGCCCTGGGTTAGGTGCTTCCTGCTTATTTTCCAGAGGCCTTTGTCCATAGAAAGCACTTGCCTTGCCATTCTGGGTTTGTTGGTTTAACTTTTCATCTTGCAGAAAACACTCATGGAAAAACAGGGATTAGATATTTGCCAGAGCTCAGGGCCAGAGCTCAGCCCTGATCTGATATAGATGAGGCACTTCATTTATATAATAAAATAATCTAAAGAATTATATTCTGCCTTTTAGCTATTCTCTGGTGGATTTTTAAGAAAGGAAACTATACTCTTATTATGAACTCTGGTAAAAAAAAAATCAATGCTTATCAATTGCCTAGATATCTCAAAGCCCTCATTCCTGGCTGCACCTGCTCCCAGGTTAATGTGCTGACCTTGGGTTAGATCTCCTTGACCTTCCCCACTGTTCACCTCCAGAATTATTTCTTCCATCTTCCGTTTGCTTCATTCCACCTTCTGTCCTGAGAACACTCTGTGACTCCTCTCTGTGTTAATCACTGATACTTTCATTTTTTAATAACATGGATAATCAGGAGTTGACAGAATGATTTCGTTAGCTTCTGAGTTAAGTGCAGTCCCTGGCATGCTCCATAAATATTCCTTACTTGATATTTCACAGTAGTGCAGGGCAGCTGAATTTCATCAACAATTTTGTCTTACCCAAGGCAGAAGCTAATCCTGGAAAGCCATTTGGAAAGCAGCTGATTGACATACTTGTAAAGATAATTAGTATGGTTACTATTGATCTTTCCCACCAAAGCAAGGGCTGATCTGTTGACAGTGAAATGAAACCAAGGAAACAACAAAACGCCTTTAGAAATAGGGAGGGAGCTGCCCCTACCTGACAAGTTTGATAATCAGACAGCGATTCTTGAAGGAGTTCAAGAGCAGTGTTGAAGCAGTTTGTTTTCTCATTTTTCATCTGTAATGGGAGGGATAATCAGCTCTAAAACATGCTGGTTTCTGTTACTCATTTAATCCACGGTGTTGGGGATGCAATCTGGTACAGAGGCTGATTTGCTTGAAGGTAGAACTCCAACCACATTTATCTGCCTCTAAATTGCATCCTCTATAGCTTCTCAATAATACCCATTGTCCTTAACTGGATAAACACCAGACTTAATAAGGGCAGGTATCTATCTATACTCCAAATTGTCTCACATCCTTCAGGGTTTTGCTCAAATGTCAACCACTGGAGGACTTGGTCTATTTTAAAATGTCACCCACCCCAAGGCTAGCACTTCATATCCCTCTTACCTGTTCCTATTGTTCATCCATAACAATCGTTATCTGCTAACATACTATACAATATACTTACCTATTATAGTTACTATTTATTGTGTGTTACCTCCCTCTTAAAAATAAACCCCACAAGGGGAGGAACCTCTGTTTTGTTCACTAATGTGTCCCAGGAGCCTACAACAATGGCAGCCACATGGTTGGTATTGTAGACTGAATTGTGTTCCCCAAAATGTTTACCTTAAAGCCCTACCCCCCAATATCATTACATTTAGAGTYAGGCTTTTAAGGTCATAGAAGTTAAGTAAGGTTAAAATTATAATAAGGCCCTTAATCCAGTAAGAATTATGCCATAAGAAGAGGAGACGCCAGGGGTATATGTGCACAAAGATAAGTGACCATTTGCAAGGTAGGAAAAAGAACCTCACTAGAAACCAAACCTAAAATAAGATGTACTCCATGTTTGTATAAAGATGTCAAATTAGTGGCTAGGGATATAGCTCAGTTGGTAGAATGCTTGCCTCACATGCGCAAGGCCCTGGGTTCAATCCCCAGCACCATCACCAAAAAAAAAAAAAAGTCAAATTATACTCTACTGTCATATATAAAAGAACAAAAAAAATTAAAAAAAATAGAAACCAAGACTTAGACCTTTGAGTTTCTGCCTCCAGGACTGTGAGAAAATGGCTTTCTGTTGTTTAAGTCATCAGTCCCTGGTATTCTCTTATGGCAGCTTGAGCTGAGTAATGCAACTGGTACTCAGAAACAACAGAAAGTTGTTTAGGAGAATGCTGTCTAGRAGAGAATTAGATGTGAATAGATTTTGAACCCACCTTGTTCTCATAACATATTTTCTCCTATCATCTCTCAGATTCATGGCTATAATACTGATACTTAAGATTAACATACCTAGGAAATGACTTGATGGAAAATTATCTTATTTACTTTACAGGTAGAATTAGCACATCACTAGTACCAGTTACAGGTATTGTGCTTTCTCCTCCCTTTGGGTTTGGGAGAGGTAGAGGTACACATAGTTTAGGCCTCAAAAGCTGAAGCTCATTATGCAATTTATCACAGAACAATTTTATAAACATAAATTAATATAATTTAAAATTATACAATTACTTTATCTTTCAAATACATAATATGTTAAATAAATGCTTTTGTGATGAGCCTCGGATCTTTACCCCCAGGAAAAATAATATAATTTTTAAAAGTTTATCCATAGAAGTAAAGTTTTGTAAGTTCAGAAAATTACCTGTGCAAGTTTGTTGTAGCCTAACACCTTACTTCTCTTTGGAATAACATACACAGTCTCTGCTGAGGCAGGGAAGAGGAATGGGAGGAGAGAGGGATGAAAAGAAAGGAGAAAAGCCTCATTCAGCTTCAAAATGCTCTCTACAGAAGTTCTATAAATTTACACCTCCACCTGCAATATATATTGATTCCCTTTTCTCTTAAGTTCTTACCAACATTAGGTAACATAAAATTTCTTTAATTTGATTAATCTGTGACTGATCTACATTATGGGTATAAATGGCATCCCATTGTATTTTTAAATTTCATTTTTCCCTTGAGCATCATTTCATGTTTTTTGAGTATCATTTCATATGTTTGTTA